AGGAAGATTGACAAATACACTTGTACAGAGTCCTTCTGTAGGAGGATTTAGCTTTCCTTTCAAACAAGGGGCTCTGAGTCTAGGTTAGGTTTGAAAAACAGTACAAAAACCTGGCTCTCCGCCGTGCTGATTCATATTGATTTTAGCACACAGACATGGAGTTTTTCCTGTTACACAGAGCATGTGACACTTCAGTAGGATGCTTGTCTGTGTTGTTTCTAAGGATTCTGTGACAACTAGCCAATGCTATAGATTTCCATGGGTCAAGCACCCTGTAACACCCCCTACATCCTACTGCCTGTTACAGGAAATGCGCCCTGCTGTATCTTTGGCAGTTAAATGCCAAAGATATCACTTGGCCTCTGCTATTTTGGGAGTCCATCATCCCTGGAGGCATCAGAGAGCCTCTGGTCGCCCTTGGGGAGTATAGTGGTGGGTGGGTAGGTGTACAGACAGTCCACAATAAATCTATTTCCACATCCCTTAAGCTTTTTTCTTCCTTCCTCTACCACACACCAAGAAAGTTCTGGCATCTCGACTCCCTAGGTGGAGGTCACCACTAAGTCCTGGTTTCACTCCATCAGGTACATAAACTGTACAGCATCCTCCCTCTGCACAAAACCATGCACGGAGTCGAGTCTCTGGTCAGGGAATCTATATCAATAAATTCAACAACACACAGTTGCGTTTCGTTCCCTTCCATCCAGAGTCTGTTTCTCAGAATCTATTCATGTACACGTCCCTTAGGCTTCTACAGGGTAAAGTAGTGAAATCTTGCCATTCTGGTGTAGAAGCTCTGTCTTCCCAGGACAGACTTTGGACTTGCTCTGATGCCCACTGAGAATCTAGCTGGAACAGGAACTTAGAAACTGCTTTTGCTAAAAGCACTGACTCCTTGCTTGGGTCTGCAACTGCCCAAAGGGTAACTCTAAACAGGATAAAAGCTTGACATCCCTGCCTCCATTTTGTACCTATCTTTGTTCTGAGCTGTTCTCTCTGCAGTCACTTTGCAGTCACCCTTGGAATCCGGGAAGGACAGAACTGATCAATAGCATCTTTCTAAAGAGGTGGAGGAAACTGCTCCCAAGAGCCTCCACAGGACGGACCATCTGCCAGGCAACAATGGCTTGCTTATCCAGACCAGGTTGCTCCCCTCAAATGATGATGGCAATAACAACTTCTCCGTGACCTCTCAATAATAATCAACCAGGTCACACTTTGCCTGGGGCTGTTTAATAATTATACATTACTTTCTCCCCGCCCCAGTGCTTCCTCTATTTGAAACTAAAGCTCTGTACCCGAAAATGGGTTGAAGTGCTTACTTTGCTCCTTCCTACGGCATGACTATGTTGTGTTAATAAGCCTCCTTTCTCTGCCCCTCACCACTACTCATCTCTTTATTTTCTGTATTGGGGCAAGTGGCCAGAACTGACATTTGAAACCCCTGGAGCTTGGACGTGTGGCCTATAACTCCAGTAAAATAGTGACCACAAGAGGCAGATCTCAAGGTGAAAAGGTAACCTTTGCAAGGCACCTGACCTAGGTGACCTTAGTGCAGTCCTTAAGCAAAGGAAATTGAGTCATCTAGACATGCCAAGTTAGCTGCTTTCATGGCATCCTAACCTTCACACAGAGATTGGCAAGGCTGTGAATTCAACTGATGTTGTATCTATGCCACCCACACAATTAAACTATATTTGTCATTTTCAGATATACCAGCCCTGCAGCTGCAAGAAACACATTTCTTGTGCTTTTAATAAATACTTAATATTATTACAGGGGCTTATTTCTAGTTGAGCTCTCTGGTTGTTTGATTGTGACCCATCTTTGAGGGTTATTTCCTGGGGCCTCCCCTGGTACTAGCTGCTATGTCTTCAGGGTCTTGCCAGGTGACAGACAGAATTTAACATAAGAAATTATGGACTAGGTAAGTCAGGAACAGCAAGTGCAGGAAGCAGTTGCCACCCTTAGGGCTGGGAGAACAAAGAAAGGTTGGAATTATTAAAACTTAGAAGCATATAGGAGGGGGTCCTTGGAGCTGAAACCCACACCTCTGCAGGGGTCTGCTGCCCAGCTGACAGGAATGTCACTCAGCTTGAAGAAGGGGCCCTATGGGGTTGGGGCATTAACTGATCTTCCCCTGTTCTGTCTGTGTCCAGGCTATGAGCAGAGGGGTAGAAAGTCACCCATCCTTACTGCTTACTCCCTTTCAGATGCATGGGATCTTACCACCTCCCAGACAAAAGGGGTGCCTTAGCCCCCTTCCCCGTGAGAAGAACTCATCCCCACAATTTCCCATGATGCTATGGGGCCTCCAGGTGTGGTCTACAGTGTTAGTTAGGCCCCAGGAAACAGGAAGGGAAAAGAACGAGTGTATCTGCTGGGCCATGGGCTTGCGGATGATTTAAAACGGAAATAGACACTGCTTATCATCTTCAAAGCTTTGAAATGTTTTCCCCACCCAGACACTCAGACTTTGATGGCTTGGGCTCGGGTTGGGAAATGAGTCTCTTGCTTTAATTCTCAGTCATTATGCATACATAATGTTCACCCTATTTAAAAGAATGTAGATTGTATGTAAATGTGCCTCTGTGAGACTGTCCCAACCTGCATTAAGCACACATTAATTTTATAATAATGGCATCATTCAGTTATTGCTCCTTCCATGTTTGCAAGTCACTCCTTTGTACATTTGCCATATTTTGTCCAGTCCTGGTCTCTGGGTCCAACTTTGGACTATGGGAGTAGTGGTTGAGCTCGAGGGACTTAAAGATCTTCTCACCAAATACCTAATGCTTTGTTCCACTCCTGCTCCTTGCCAAGACTCATCTTTGAACTTCACAGAAAGGGGGCTACTACCTCTGGAGCAGCTGAATCTCACTGGACAACCATGAACTATTAGAAAGTCTGAATTTACCAGGAAGGAGGTCCCTGGAAAGCAGCAGGGAATTTGTTTAACTTGTGCCTTTAACATTGTGTTTCCTTCACATTATTAAACAATCTTAACATATTTACAAATGTGCCATTACAGTAGATGTGAGCCTTATAATTGCCATCTTGCTAAGTAATATATTAAAAACATCTTTCTGTTTCAATTAGCCTACTTCTCTTTCCTCATTTTCAATGCCTGTATAATCCTCCATTGTTGGACAGACCATAATTTGCTTAAACAGTGCTTGTCAGTGACCATTTAGGTTGGTTCCACCTTTTTGCTGTAGTTACTAGCTCCAGAAAGAAATCCTCACATGGAGTGATCATTTTCTCAAGAGAGAGTCACAGATGACACAGAGACTCAAGGTTAAGACAGCAGCCTCCAGGCAGAAAGCAATCATTAACAAGCACAGGCAGCAATGCTGAATGCTTTACCAACTGAAAGCGTACCAGATGCCTTACCCGCATTGTGGTGTCTGCTCCTCACCACTTCTCCCTCCACCCTCCCCACCCACTGCATGGCACCTGACCATTCCTGCTCTATGTGGCTGATTATAAGGCAAGAGCTAAGGGGACAGGCCAGGTGGTTCTGCTCTACCACACAAAGTAGCCTCCAAAGAGGCTCCTTTCTGGAGATAAGGGGATAAGGACCCCCCCCATGAACTGGGCCACGGAAAACACAATGAACAGCACCATCCAAGAGTGCAGCAGATCTTCCAGGTGCCAAGAGACTTTCCCCATCTCTAGGAGTTCAGCAAAGAAAAGGAAGGGAGTGGGGAGAAAACACAGGGCATATAACAGGTAGCAGGTGAAAGCAGGAAAAGTCTCCCATGAAGCCTGGTCATGGAGAAAAGAGCTCCTCCTTCCATCCAGTGTCTTCACCTGGCCACACATCAAAGTCCAGTAGCCAAGCTCTCTCAGGACTGAGACCTGGTGCACGGAGCCTGGCCTGGAGCAGGCACAGGGGCACATGAATGACCACAAGAACCTGTGTCTTTCCACCTTGCTTTCCCCACAATGCAACAGGTATGCTGACGTTGCATTGATGTTGTATCAGAGTATTATTTGTGGTAACAAAAGGACAGAACACAACTGGATGAACCATTCCAATACAGCGCAATTAAACACTGCAAACTTTTAATCCCCAAGGTGGTCTTGGCTACAAGAACTTCAAAATATATCACTGTATCTCATGACATGGAAGTCACAGCTGACCATAAGATGCATCATGACTTTTTAGCATTAAGAAACACACACAGGGCTGGGGATGGAGCTCTATGGTACAGTGCCTGACTAGCACTAACAGTAGCATGCACTATGATCCCAGTGATTGTACAAAGGATGGGATTTCAGAGGTAAGAGGTGAGAAACTGTGAAATGTTATAGAGGAAAAACCAAATGTAGAGTAACATGTACAGCATGGTATAGTGTGTGTGTGTGTGTGTGTGTGTGTGTGTGCTAGTTAAATAGGGGTGGGGAGACTACACAACCATCCAGGTTTTACAAGTACCAAAAATTCCTGAAAAGATACTCAAGAATCTGATAGCCAAAGTGGCCTCTGGAAGCCAGGCTGGGGAACTGGGATTGCGATAAACAGTAGGAGGGAAACCTTCTTTTCATCGTTCATCTATGGGTAAAATCTGACATTTTAAACTATATATTCCCTTTAAAAAATAAAACTGAAAACAATGCAAAGTAAAATAACGCATCCTTCAGAGAGGATTAAGAAGCATAATATTTGGATCTGCAGGCTAGGTATCGTATCCCGATTCCACCCTAGCAGCCCGGGAAAATAGGATTCCGGGTCCTAACACCGCCAGAACTGGGTCTCCGTTCTCCCAAGACCCCAGTCGGATGTCGGGGAGATAGTCTTGCAATGTTCGCCAGGCTAGAGCCCCGGGGGACCAGAAGCCCATCGCGCATCGCTCTTCCTGGCCCCGGCAGCAGCGGCTGGCGCCCCGCAGTGCAAGCCCGGCCAATCAGCAGCCGCGGGGCGGGTGCGGTGGCTGCGCCTCGCGCACGGAGCAGAGTGCGAAGCAGAGGAGTCACTCTGCTTCTTGGAGCAAGCCATGCCGCGCTTGCCGCCGCTCCTCCCGCTACTGCTGCTGCTGCTACTGTCGCCGCTGGTCCCCGGCCTTGGGCTCCGCGGCGCAGGCGGCCGGCACCCGGAGTGCGGCCCGTGCCTACCCGAGCGCTGCCCGGCGCCCGCCAGCTGCCCGGCACCCGGGATCGCGGCGCGCGATGAGTGCGGATGCTGCGCGCGCTGTCTGGGCGCGGAGGGCGCGAGCTGCGGGGGACGCGCCGGTGCGCGCTGCGGTCCGGGCCTAGTGTGCGCAAGCCGGGCCGCTGGGGCGGCGCCCGAGGGTACCGGGCTCTGCGTGTGCGCGCAGCGCGGCACCGTCTGCGGCTCCGACGGCCGCTCCTACCCCAGCGTCTGTGCTCTGCGTTTCCGCGCCCGGCACGCGCCCCGCGGGCACCCTGGTCACCTGCACAAGGCGCGGGATGGCCCCTGCGAGTTCGGTGAGTTGGTTCCCACCCTGAGGGGCTCCAGCGGGTAGAGGAAGAAGGACCCCAACCCTCTATGGTGTGGGATGGAGGATCCTCCTGCTTAACAGTGGGCAGTGCCTCCTGGTCCTCAGTTTCCTCTTCTGGAGCAGTATTTCTCATCCTGCCTGGGACACAGGGAGACTGGAGTGGGAATCTCCTTCCTGCCCTCTCCCTTGTCAAGTTTATGGAGACATGAGTCCCAGGGTAAGAGAGAATTTTGGTGAGCCTGCTGCCCCTTTTGGTACTTAAGTGCCTCTTATGTAGTTTGCAAGCCTGGCAAGTTTGCCCACAGGAAACTGGGAGATGGGGTACTCATTGGATCTGGGTTCCCAGGTGCCCGCCCCAAGTGGATGGTTTGAATGGAGAGGAAGAGAAAGGGAAGATGTCAAGGAGGAGAAGCTCCTTACAGGGACTCAGGAGTCACCTAGCCAGAGTACCAGGGCCCTAGAAGTGAGGTGAGGCTCAGCTAAGGGTCTCGAGGGAGCTCCCATGCAATATGGTGAGAATTTACCTCTGAAAAGATGATGGGGCCAAAAGGAGCAGACCCAGGTTTTTGGGGTCTACGTTGTATGTAATTTGGAGGATCCTGCTGTAAGGAAAGGAATAAAACATTATCAATTGCTAGGAACTTGGAAAGTTAAGCTTCATTGACATCACAGTACAGCTGGATGCCATAGTTGCCCACCTTCTCTGTGTAATTTTTAAAAACCAAACTGAAATAAACCAAAACTATAGTTGGTAGGGATATCTAGCAAAGAGCCCATGTGGTTTTGCTAACCTACTTTGCCTAAGTGTGGGTGTGGTCCACCCATGAGGTGTGGTGAACAGCTCCCTGTCTACTCCACTTGGAGCAGGCGGTGGGGAGTTCAGAGTGAGTGAGTCAGTGCTGGTGAGTCCCTAGGAGTCCAGCTTGCAGCTAGGGCTTCAAGCCCTGAATTCAGGATTTCTGGCCCCGCTGGGAGACCAAGTCCTGACTAATGCCTAAGTCAATGCAATGACTTCAGTTTCCAGAAGGAAGCCTGGGTGGGGGAGGAGGGTGACCCTTTTTCCAGGGCTTATGAAGTATCTAGTATTATGTCATAACCCTTTCCCCTGCAAATATTCCACATGGATGCACTCAAGTTCAGGAAACCCAGTGATCTTTGGAAATGGGGCAGGAAGTCTCCTGTCCCAGGAAACAAAGACGGTGAACAGCTGATTATGGAGCTGAAGAAGCCCTGGTTGCACAGAAGTCATCATGACTGTTCCTAGTTGGGGCTCCCAGTAAAGAACAGAGCTGGCTGGGGGTGCTTGGACTTGGTCTTTCCCCTCTGTAGCCATGTCAGCCCCTGTGGAGCCATTGAACACTTGCTTCTACCCCATGGCACTGGAACCATCCTGTCTCTTTCCTTCTTGTAGTTCCTGTCGCTCTTTTTTTTTTTTTTTACAATTTGCCTTCCTCAGCAGTTAATTCTCAGGCAGGTCCCTTTGTCTGCAGACAGGTAGCACTAACTGCACAGGCAGGAGATGAAAGAAATGCTGACCAGGTCCCCACCATCTACACAGTGCTGATGGGCTCAGATAATTTCTCCCCAGAGTGGTGTTCTGTTCCTAGGAGAAAGACCCCTTAAAAAGACACGTGGACCAAATCTGCTGTTATGCAGAGGAGATGGAGACCCAGTGAGGGCAGGGGACTTGTCCAGGATGTCCAGCTCCCTGGTCCCAACACCCTGTCTAGTACTCTTTCAGGATAGGACTTGGTAGTATTAAGTCAGGCAGATGGTGGTTGCCGTGGTTACCGGAGTAAGGACAGATGGCAGATGGAAACCCCATACTCCTAATTCACTGAAAATTACCAAATGACAAGTAAATGTGACAGCCTCTGGACCCTGATCTATGGGCTTGGAGGCCCACCCCCGGCTTGAGCCTGGGGAATAAAGAGGTACTGAGAGCTAACAGGAACAATTCAGAAGCAGCTTTTTTTTTTTCATAACCTCATTAGTGACAGGCATCAGGGCTCCTGTGCTCAGCTGTCCTTCCCACCAGCATTTGTGTCACCCACCTCAGTCCTGGCACTGTCTCCCTGTGGCCTTCTGTCCTCACATCTTTGTGTGGCCCTTGTCCTTGTGTCCAGGTGAGAAATAAAAGTGTGGACAAGGAGCTGTTCCCTAGTCCCGCAGCACCTCATTCTAGGCTGCCCTAAAGCCATCTTTAATTCAGAATACACCACAGGAGCACTTTTTAACAATGCCCCTGGGGACCCTGGTAAAGGAAAACAGACAGCCAGAGCAGGGCTGTTTGCTTCGATATTGGTGATAAAAATCACCCCTCCCTGCTATTCCCCCTCTTTCAGCACCCAAGCACCTCAATAAGTGTGACTCGGGTCCCTCCCAGTGACAGTGTCTCTGCACATGCCTCTGCTGGGCATTGGGAACCAGCTTTGAATGTAAATGATGCCTTTCCTGCCTATGTTCTGAAACACTCCAGGTGCCTAATCACGAGAGTAATCCTTTGCTCTGCACACATTGATTGAAAACTTGAGTGTGAATAACTCTACTGTTAGACATTGCTTTTGCTCCCATCTTCTCACTTGATTTTTGCAATTACCCAGAGTCTTACTTCCACTGATTAGAAGGGAACACTGAGGCACACAGAAGGGAATTCCTTGGAGCCACTTGGCTAGTCCTAGCTGAGATGGACTGCAGCCCAGGTTTGCCTGGCTCTTTGCAAATCTCTCTCCAGCCTGCAGGGCATGGATTCCCCGCAGCTTCCCTGAGCTCTTGAAATTCTGAATCTTAGGACATTCACCTTGGTTGGAATTCCAGCTCCACTTAGAAACCCAAGGTGCTTGTTACCAGGTAACCAGAAGAGGCAGCAAATGCCACTTTGTGAGAGGGACAAAGAAAGGGACCTCGTGCTCAAAAGCCTTTCGTGTGAGGGAGGGGATTTGAGGCACAGGCTGCAGGCAGTGGGATTAAGCTGTGTCTCTTTCCACATTGTATCGTGACTATTAGCATAAATTATCAGGGCTGTTCGGTGCACTGATTATTAAACTCTTTGGTTGTACACTTCTTACTACAAACAGATGGGGTCCTTAGGGGTGACTGGCTATTCTTTCTTCCCTAGCACCATTAACTTGAAATAAATCTCAGAGGCATTTGAGAAGATTATCCGTTCCAGTCATCCAGGACCTATTTAATTGATGGGGTAGGGAGACAGATCGCCACACACTATAATAATAATATCGATCCCTTTCATCTATTCAGGTCTACACAGTTAACACAGACACATCCATTATCTCCATGTACCCTGGTGGGAATGGGGCGCTTGTTCATTTACAGACAAGTTGGAAATGATTCACAACTGCCCAAGCTTGGGGCACCTGGACTCCCCAGGCAGTTGAGTCTACCCTGGTTCTATTTTGTCCACCTCACAGTCCTGCCTCCTGTGACTGTGCACACCTGGGTGACTCTCCTGTGTTACCTGTGGTTAGCCCTTGGATGAGTGGGTTTGTGCCATCTCACATTTCTGAGACTGCTGTTAGCATAAGCAGAAGAAATCAAAGAGCTTAAGAGACTGAGTTGACATATTTGAAGACTAGGCTGACCAGGAGTGAACGTTACCTTATTCTCATCCAGGACAGTTGGAAAGGAAACTGGGGGTGTTCCAGAATGTGGCAGTTCTAGCCACAGTAAGGTGAGAAGCTGTGCGACCTAACTGGCCTGAGTCAGGGCTTTGGGCCATGGCTCCTGATGGGCCCTGTCACCAGAGCCAGCAGAGAGTTGCAAACCCATCAGGCATGTTAGAAGAGACTGCATGGGATATCATAAGCTGCTGCATCCTCAGGTCCCTCTGTAGAAGACGTTCATGGGGTCTCCCACAGCCTGTAGGGAGTGGTGGGCAGAGGGAGTGTTTGGCTTGAGTCTGAAATGTCCTGCAGAGGCTCATGTGTTGGTCCCCAGCTGATGGCACTTATTACAAAATGGTAGAAGTATCAGGAAGTGAGGCCCAGGTAGAGGAAATCAGTGTGTGTGGGGGATGTCTTGGAAGTGTACATCTTCTCCCAGGATCCTCGCTCTGCTTCCTGGCTGCCATAAGGTGAGCATCTTTCCACCAGTGATTGTGCTGTGCCATAGGCCAGTCAGCCGTGGACTGAACCCTGTGAAACCATGAGCCAAAATAAATCTTTCTTCCTTTAAGTAGATTCTCTTGGCTATTTGGTCGTGGTGAGAAAAAGTATGACTAACAAAGGGAGAATAGGCTCCTGTGCTCATTTATTTATTTTGGTGGTTTGGGGTTTAAACTTAGGGCTTCATACTTCCTAGGTAGGCACTCTACTACTTGAGCCAGACCTCTAGCCCTTTTTGTTCTGGTTATTTTTGAGATAGGGTCTCACTTTTTGGCTCTGGCTGACATGGACCTTCATCCTACTATTTATGCTTCCTACAGTAGGACATGTGCCACTATTCCCAAGTTTTTCTGTTGAGACAGGGTCTTGCTAACTGTTTGCTCAGGCTGGCCCAGAACTGGCATCCTCCTGAGCTTCCCTCCTATGTAGCTGGGATGACAGGTGTAAGCCACTGGCACCCAGCTCCTGTGTTCATTTTAAAGAAGAAACCTAAGCCAAGTCACAGCACTGGGATGTGGCATAGACAAAAGTTGGGTTCCTCAGCCTCAGCCCACCATACTGTCTCTCCTGCTTCTGGTAGTCACTGAGCACATTGGTGTCACATATTTTGGGATAGTGAGGACTTGGGAATGTCCTGCTAATGTCATGGGTATATTGCTCATCTCACAGGGCAGTCACTCAGGGGAATCACCCTGGGGGTGATGCTTACAGTGTTTCTTCCTTGAGCAGAAAAGAGCCGGAGGCATGGCTCAAGTGGTAAAGTGCCTGCACAGCAAGCCCAAAGGCCTATGTTCAGCCCCCAGTACCACCAAAAAAGAGAAGAAAAGAGCTAACAGCTGGCCTGAGACTATATCCTTAGAAAGGTCCTGTAGAGAGAGCTTTCTCGTGCTCCTAGTCCTACTGGCCTAACTGGGAGCAATGGGAGATGCAGAAAGGACAAATGATAGAAGACAGACATGCAGAAAGTTGGGGCCAGGTGTGCTGGGCTCTAGGATGGAGACACACAACAACCTTGTTGCTTCTTTTCTCTATTATTCTCTTCTCTTTACTCTGCTTCTTTTCTTTTATTCTTAAAATTTTTACTTCTAAAGTCTTTCTTTAAAACCTTTGTTTCTATTCTTTAAAGTCTCTTTCCTTAGATTCTCTCTGTCCCATGTTTTCCTTAGTCTCTCTTAAAGTCTTGGCCCTCAGACTCTCACTGTCCCATGTTCTCTTAGCTTTTCTTTAGCTTAGCTTTTATAAAGCCTATGTATGAAGTTCTGAAGCAGAAAGCTGCTCTGGTGGAGACACGGCCAGCAGCAGCAGCAGCAGTGGCAGCCAATCAAAAATCCCCACCCAAAAACCTCCATGTCCTCCTTCAGCGAGTCTTGTATATCCAGTGGTAAACAAGGAGGTGGAGCAACAGTTCTCGGGGAGGGGCGTGACATTGTAACAAGAGAAACCTGCATTCCTACTTCTCTGAATGTAAACAACTTAGGAAAAGCAGCTGTGCTGCATTTTGCACTCTTCTGTGGCTGGGGCCATGCCAAACTCAGCCAGCCAATCACTTGACATAGCTGTGCTTATGTCAAGTTCTCATAGGCTTGTCTTAATCCACTCTCCACAAGGTCCTCTGTCCAGGTTGGCCCTTGGATGGCATCTAGGAACTTGAATTTTAGGAGGGTGCATAATTCCCAGAACTGGTGAAAGCAGCCTAAACTGTAGTGTATTTTATGCTTGAATTAGTCAGCTCTTCATCACTATAACAAAATACCTGAGATGGTTAACTTACAAAGAGAAAAGGGTAGTTTTGGCTCATGCTTTTGGAGGTTCCTGTCCAAGATCAGCAGGCCCATTTCTCTTTGAGCCTCTGACAAAGGCAGCACATCATGGTGGTGAGCACATGGCTCACCTTAAGAGCAGGCAGTGGATAAGAGAGAGAAGATTCCAGGATCCCACACTCTCTTCTAGGGGTATACCCTCAACCTGTGACCTCTCACTGGGCTCCACCTCCTAAAGGTTCTACTACCTGCCAATGGCACCAGTCTCGGAATCAAGTCTTCAGCACATGGACCTTTGTGTTACATTTACCTAAACCAGAGCAATGTCAAATGCCTGCTTCCTTCTGGGAAGGGGTACCTCTGTGGCCAGCCTCCAGTACAAACCCTGGGTACAGGTCACTTGTGAGCTTCCCAGGTAGACAGCATTTCACACGTCTGTCTCTACTGAGCTGATGCACTGTATGGCACCACTGAAGAGGCATTTGAGAGCGCGTGCCTGCTTCCCACACCCAACTTTTCTCTTTGCTGATTCTGCCTTGTATCCTCGGCTGAAATAAATCATAACCTTGAGTGTAACTATACACTGAGTCCAGTGAACCCCCTCCCAGCAAATCGGTGAACCTGGGGTCTGTCTTGGGGACCAACCCCCCTATCCCTAAAAAGCTAATCTCCTATTCTGGGATGGAGTCCACAAAGATAACAGATGTCCCCTTTAAAAACCAGAGGGAAAGTCATGGAATCAGGGGGTCTGGGTTTGAGTCCTTGTTCCTTCCGGCCTTTTACCTTTCAGAGCCTTCGTTTCCCTATCTGTATAGTGGGGATAAAAGCACCTGCTTTGCAGGGCTGTTGTGAGGACACAAGGAAGGGTCCTCTGGAAAAAAGGCAAGATGGCATTAGGACAGGGGTTAAGAAGAGCTTGGGTTCTAAAGCCAAAACACTGGACTTATGGCCTTCCTGATCATTCAAGGCCAGGTAACCTTGGGCAGCTCCTTCAGCTGGAAGCTGGTAAGATTACTGGAAAGAAACTGGTTAATACCTGTTGCAGAAGAGTACATGGCACACAGTAAACACTGTATTAGCTGGTGGCCTCATTACTGTTACTATGAATCTCACTGACTTTGAAGAGCTAGTATGGGTAAACATGCTGTAAATTGAAAACCAGGCATGTTAAAATTAAAAGCAGGTGATTGTGACAAAGTGCAGCATGAGGAAGCCTTTGAGATAATGGAACTGGTCTGTGTCTTGGGTCTGGCGGTAGTTTCAAGACTATGTGTTTGTTAAAACTTAGAACTGCACACTAGGAAGAATGAGTGGTACTCTCTACAGATTTATAAATAAATAGTGAAACGTCCCTGTAACATTGAAAGCAGGGGGCTCTTTTGTAAAAGAAGTGGTATTTCCTGCTGTGAAATCAGTCACAGAGACATCATTTTCAAGACAGTCTTTCTAAATTGTAGTTATTGAAAGAGGGAGAGGGAGGCATGAGAGAGAGAGAAGGAAAATGTGATTTACTGGTTTATTCATTTAGGCCTGAGAGGGAATGGTGAAATCTCATTTAAAATTTATGACTTTACATGAACAAAAGTGAAACACGTTGAGGGGGTGTCCCTTTGGAATCCATCAAGGGCTGTGGAAATAAGAGGCAGTTCTGATTGTCCCACAGCGAGCCATTTGAGAACTGGCTTGTGGTTGGCCACATTGCAGCGCCTGTAAGGTTGAGGAGGCACCGGCAGGAGGGTGTGAATAAATTAGCCTTTCTTTGTTGTCACAGATGGGGCTCCTGTGTGGCATGTGTGTTTGTGGCCACAGGCAATGTTAGAAGTCTGGGAGCTCCTTTCATTGGGGCGTTGACTGCACTCTTAGAAATGTGGGCTGGTACAGTCCTTTGGAGGGCAGTCAGTCACATGGGCACAGCTGAAGGACTGGGGTTGCAGGGTGGGCCAGCCTGGTATGGGGAAGGCTGGTTCTGTATCCAACTCCCTGGAGAGCCATCTGGGCACCAGGGAGTTTGTGGGCTCCAGAGGGGAGGGTGGGGGGTGAGCAGCAGGTGACAATTACAGAGAGGCAGGTATTAGTTCCAGGTGAGGATGGGTTTTGTTTCCAGCGCAGTGCTTCAGGGAAGGAAGGGCCTGGCTTCATGGCCAGTAGTGAGCTTTTGGTCACTGGGGGGGTGCGAGTGGAGGTAGGACGAGCATTGTCTCAGACCAGTCACAGTATTGTGGGGAGTTGGGTGCTAGAGGGCCTCTCCAGTTTGAGACTGTGACTCTAAGACAATCTCCCAGAGATTTTTGGGAGGACTAGCTTGACAAGTTTGCTTTTTGGTCTGGAGGAGCCACTGGGCATCTGCATTTGTTCTCCTGTGTCATGAATTTCTCCATCTAGTTCTCAGTTTCCCAGATCTGTTCCTGACTCCCACTTGCATACGATGCTATGGAAGCCATGGCTTTCTCATTCCGTGGTTGATCCCCTCTGCAGCTCTGGGAAGCAAGGGTCTTATCTCTGTTTTACAGATGAAGAGGCATGACCTGAGAGCTTTTCCCTGTTTGGCTTCTACCTTATACCTTGCCCAGAAAACCGTGGCTGAACACCACAGTGGCTGTTTGCCATCTAACACAGGTGGGACCAGGTAGAGACCTCCGAACTGTAAGGCCAGCTGTAACTAAGCAGATCAAATAGGTGCCTCTGTCCTGGCTGAGGTTACCTGCAGGGTAGGTGAGCCATCCACCTGTGCCGCTGTCCACAGGGTAGGCAGGGCACTGAGGGGCTGCTGGCTGGGGTCTGACAGCCAAAGAGACTGTACTTGATTCTCACAGCCCATGTGAGCAGATCAGCTGCCTGGCATGAGAGGAAGCAGAGTGTGGAGGGTGAGCTAAGAATCCCTAGCTCAATGCCACAGGCTCTTCCGTCCAACCCAGAGAGCCCCACCCTCCCTGCGCCCTGCCATGTCTGGCAGCCTGCAGCAACATTTACCCCATTCCCTGAGTTGCTTGGGCTCAATTCCTTCTGTCCCTTCACTGGGTTTCCAGGTCTGTACTTCACCCTTGGGGATGGGGAGGAGAGGAGAGGGTTGGGGAGGCTGAGTGGAGTCTGTGCTGTGTGTACCTGGACAGCCTTTAGAGTGGACCATAGGCGCCTCAGCTCCGGGGTTCAGGCCATTCGCTCTGCATGGTATTCTCCTTTGAAACCCCTGCATGTGGAGGCAGAAAAGCCATGTATTGCAGTCGCCACCACTGGTGATGTAATACTGGCCTTCTAGGAGTCTGCCATGTGTCCTGTAGCTGAATCGTAAGCAGATGGCAGCTGGGTTTCGGGAGGGGAGAGTGGGGGGAACACTCTAAGATCAGAGCTCCTGATCTTGGTAAGTTGCCTCTCCTCTCTGAACCCCTCTTTTCCTGGTGGTAAAACAATACCAGTGGGTCCAGGAAATGGCAGATCCCCTTCCAGGTGAAGGAAAGTTCCAGTCTGACCCCTGGCCCAGGACCTCCATGGTCTGTGAGGAGCTGCTGCTCCCCTCAGCACAGACTCCTAGCAGACCCTCAGCAGATCAGGCAGTGTGGGAGGTGGGGGCTTGGGACCTGCTAAAATAAAGTGTGTTCCTTTGTCTTCTCCCAGCTCCTATGGTTGTCATGCCACCCCGAAGTGTTCACAATGTCACAGGGGCACAGGCATATCTCTCCTGTGAGGTGAGGGCTGTGCCCCCTCCAGTCATCACATGGAAGAAGGTATTTCTCGCCAAGAACTCGTGTATGTGTGTGTGTGTGTGTTTGTGGGGGGGGAGTGGTGCACCTGTGCGCGTGTGCACACAAAAGAAAAAGTGAGAACACACATGCAGAGAGACAGAAACAGAGAGACAGAGAAAGGGAAACAGAAGGGGTGGGTGGTATTTTTTTTTCTTTAGGTATGTTTGTTTATTTGTATATCTTTATACAAATAAAGATATCCTTATTTTAAAGATACATGGGTCAGAGTATTAGAAAAAGATACCTTATATACACCACTCCTTTGCCTCAAAATGGTTAGCCCAGAGCTCCCCCCAGAGAAGCTGGGTTGCAGTCCTTCCTGTTATATTTGCTCCCTTGGCCCCTTAGACACTCAGAAAATTCTGCTGTCCCCTAGCAGATCTAATGTCAGCTGCTGGGTCATTAGAGCTTGCTTCACCGTGGAGCTGAGCTGTAGGCAGCCTTGGCTAGTGGCAGAGGACCCAATCCTATTTGAAGGCCTACTTTTGAGAGCCTATCAAGGATCGCAGTGTTTGCTGGCCCATTGCCTCAGCAGCCCTGACAGACAGTGTGGCCTTGCGAGTCCCAGCTGCATGACTGGCATCCTGGCTGTCCAGCAGGGGGTGCTGTCTATACACACATTCAGGTTTAAAAGCTGCTGACCCTCATTTTTATAGGAGTGAGAGGTGCTAGGGTTTCAGCCTTTGAGTCAGTGGGAAGATGCAGAGGTTGAGGTCTGTGTGGTGGTCCTTAACCAGAAATGCTTTTTCTAAACTGCTCAGTTTATCTGTCCTCTATAGGTCATGCGCTCTGCTGAGGGCACCGAGATGTTGGAGGAATTGCCTGGGGACCACATCAATATAGCTGTCCAGGTGCGTGGGGGCCCTTCCGACCACGAGGCCACAGCCTGGATTTTGGTGAGTGTTTAAGATTATTGATTGATATGGACCACCTCCATCTTTCTATAACATGTTATAGCATTTTTCACTGGATCCTCCGGTGGCTGTGAAATGGGCAGGGGTTTGGATATCTCCTGAGAGCAGAAGCTATCTCCTGCAGCAGCAGAATAATGGCTCCTAAAAAACGCCCATTCCTATTGCCCATCGTGTAGATATGCACGATGACAAGGGGATTAAGGCAGCTAACAAACTGACTTTAAGATAGAGTAGACTGGATTACCCAGGTGGGTCCCATTCAAAGGTGAATCTTCAAATGAAAAAGAGCAAAGCAGAAGAGTCAGAAGCAGTGTGATGTGATGCAAGAAAGACTCCTCCCACTGTTGCTGGTGTTGAAGATGGAGGAAGGGGCCACTGACCAAGGAGTGATTGTTTCCTATAGAAGATGGACAAGGCAAAGAAACAGATTGTCCTTAAGAACCTTAGGAAAGCTGCTGGCACCTTGATTTTTAGTCTGGGAGAGTCACTTGTGTGCCTGAACTCCAGAGCTGTAGATGATAAATTTGCATTGTTTGAAGCCACTAAGCTTGGGACCACTTGTTATAGCATCCATAAGGAACTAATACACCTGGCTAAGTCCACATGACTGGCAGAGAGGGAAGAGGCACATTGAGCCCTCCTCTGGGGCTCTGTTATGCCTCTCACAGCATTTTTTTGCTGAGATTGAGGGAATGCTGTGTGTTTGAAAAACTAATAGAATAGGATCTAGGGTTCTGTGTTGGTCTGGCCACTTTTCCTCTCTAAGCCTCTGTTCCTTGTGAACCTAACAGTCTGTGACAGTGAGTCTCCTATAAAATGAGGTTAATAACACCCTTTTCCCCTATTGGTGTGGGGTCAAAGCTAGATGGTGTGCATAATCCTCCCTATTGACTATAGAGTGATTCACAGTTGACAGAAGCAGTTACCAGAAGAGGAGGCAAAAGAGAAGAGCTGCTTGGGTCGTGGTGAGCACCTTTGTGGTGTTCTTCAAGATGTCCTCTTCATTTCCCCTGTGCTCTGGGAGATTTGGTGATGTTTCTCTACCCAGTCGAGGGGCTTGAAGTGCAGTGGGACCTGTGGTATTTTCAAATCAAGTACACTGCCTTATTTTCTTATAAGAAAAGATAGGGGGACAGGTTAGCTCTGGTGGTGGTTTGTAAAGGCTTCCCCCACAGAGAACACTTTGTGAGTCCTTCTTTGGCTAGTAGGTTTTCGTTCTTTTAATTTGCAGTATTTTCCTCATAATCTGTACCTGTCATCTTCAGTAAAAGGACCCAACCCCGCAGCTCACAGTCAAAGCCAGGCATGCAGAGGAATCATTAGGAGAGCCACAGCAGGGAGCGTGCCCTTCATGCCAGCCCTGGCAAGGAAGCACACAAGGACAAATGTGTGCTTCTTGGCAGCAAAGGCAAGAAGAGAAACAAGGAGCTCTGTCTTATTCTGAATAGGAGCAAGTGTGCAGTCGTATCATTAAGAACTGAATAAGGAAGTCATTGTTCTGTGCTGCATATAACCATATAAATGTGCCTGTTGTATTTCTAGATCAACCCCCTAAGAAAGGAAGATGAGGGAGTGTACCAGTGCCACGCAGCCAACATGATTGGGGAGGCCCAGTCCCATGGCACTGTGACAGTCCTAGACCTGAGCAGATACAAAAGCCCTCTCTCCCTAGCTCCAGCTGACCACCTGTGATGACTAAGGTACACATTTTAAGTCATTTCAGTATTTCTACCCCTGTGTCACCAGAGATGTGCAATAAAAAAGAAGAAAAATATGTAAGTGGAGGAAATGAGAGAAAGCAGAGGAGAATGGGGCCATATGAAGGGTAGCAGGTGACCCTTGGTTATGTTCTGCACACTTTTATCTGAGTTTCCCAGCATGCAAAGTCAAGACTTGTGAACATGGGTGTCTCTAACCAGAAAAAGCCAATAGTGTTTTTTCTGTTTCTGAAGCTGGAGGGACTACTTCTTCCGGGCCAAAGAGGTGGCATATCATTGTAACAGCATCCACATTCTCTTTTGAGACCACCATGCTTCATTGTCTCTTCCCAGGACACCTGCTGTGGGTGGCTCTGCTGTCCTCAGCACTATATGCTACTCAGCAACACATTTCAAGGGGTAGGGTGCAGGATTTCTGCATCTCTTCTGGCACACAGAAGACAGATAGGGTTGCATCTGGCCCTTACCCACAGGTGACTGTGGACTTGGAAAATGAGTCACTTTATTAGCTAGCTTTTGCTGTTTAACAAGCAAAACCAAACCTTGCTGGTTCACAGCCACAAAGGTTTATCTCTTGCTCACATTCCATGTCACTGATGTGGGTTGGCTGTGTCTCTGCTCCATGTGTCTTTTTATTCTGGGTCCAGCTGGAGAAGCAGTCCCAGTGTGAAATGTGTTCACTCTTGTGACAGAAGGGACAAGCAAGAAACTGAGTCAAACACACATCATTTAAAGTTTCTCCTCAGATGTGATTTCCATCATGCCTTCTTACCATCCATGGCCACACCCAGGTTGGATACAGTGGGCGAGGTACATTCTGTTTGCTGGAGATGAAGGGCAGGGAGGCAGGAATGGGAGGAGCATTCATGAACAAGCCCCATCACAAAGGCCGACTAGCACGGTTCTAAGAGAGCATGTGTCAACTGTGACTATTTTGTTCATGTGCCTGTGACTTATTAGCAGGTGCTCTGTGCCTTAGAGGGTACGTGTCACAGAAGGAGGGAGGAAGGTTCCAGTTCTCCTTTCCTGGATGGTCTGGACAGTTCCCCTCCCCTGTCTTGGCCTTGGCCTGTTTATCTTTTTTTTTTTTTTCCATTTTTCTTTTATTATTCATATGTGCATACAAGGCTTGGTTTATTTCTCCCCCCTGCCCCCACCCCCTCCCTTACCACCCACTCCACCCCCTCCCGCTCCCCCCCTCAATACCCAGCAGAAACTATTTTGCCCTTATCTCTAATTTTGTTGTAGAGAGAGTATAAGCAATAATAGGAAGGAACAAGGGGTTTTGCTGGTTGAGATAAGGATAGCTATACAGGGCATTGACTCACATTGATTTCCTGTGCATGGGTGTTACCTTCTAGGTTAATTCTTTTTAATCTAACCTTTTCTCTAGTTCCTGGTCCCCTTTTCCTATTGGCCTCAGTTGCTTTAAGGTATCTGCTTTAGTTTCTCTGCATTAAGGGCAACAAATGCTAGCTAGTTTTTTAGGTGTCTTACCTATCCTCACCCCTCCCTTGTGTGCTCTCGCTTTTATCATGTGCTCATAGTCCAATCCCCTTGTTGTGTTTGCCCTTGATCTAATGTCCACATATGAGGGAGAACATACGATTTTTGGTCTTTTGAGCCAGGCTAACCTCACTCAGAATGATGTTCTCCAATTCCATCCATTTACCAGCGAATGATAACATTTCGTTCTTCTTCATGGCTGCATAAAATTCCATTGTGTATAGATACCACATTTTCTTAATCCATTCGTCAGTGCTGGGGCATCTTGGCTGTTTCCATAACTTGGCTATTGTGAATAGTGCCGCAATAAACATGGATGTGCAGGTGCCTCTGCAGTAACAGTCTTTTGGGTATATCCCCAAGAGTGGTATTGCTGGATCAAATGGTAGATCGATGTCCAGCTTTTTAAGTAGCCTCCAAATTTTTTTCCAGAGTGGTTGTACTAGTCTACATTCCCACCAACAGTGTAAGAGGGTTGATTGGAGCATTTGTACTGGATATTACCAGGGTCCCTTGTAGCCCTGCCGTCTTACAGTTAAGATGGCCTATGAAAAAGTATACTACATAATAATATAGGTTCTACATATTATTAGGTATCTAAGTTTTTAATTCCCTCTACAACACAAAGCATTGACCTGCTCTTACTTGCACACCTCCAGGAATACAGAGCTCCCCACTACCAGACCACCATATTGGGTGTTTTCCAGTGGTTGAAAGTTCTTCCTTATAAGCTGAAGTCGGCCTCCCTGAAACATCTACCCATTGGTCTTAAATGTACTTCTTGGGTCCCCTTTGCCCCTTCTCCCCACTTCTGACACCATTCCTTGAACTTGAGGACCATGCCCTTTTCCTCCAATTTAATACACAGTTGATGGCAACAGAATAGATGTCTTTTCCCTAATTTTTCCCTCTTTTCTTTCCAGGGTTTTAGAGACATTGATCACAGAATGTGGAGAAGTAACAGATGATTGTGCTCTGTGAAGACTTGGAAAAACTGTAGATGATCACCTTTTGTACGTTTTTTAAAAGTTGAATGCAAACTAGATTCATACGCAGATGTAGTTTTTAGCAGACATGCATGTAGCTTTTTATACTTTTGGAATGAATTGTTTCATGAAAATTCTTTTTTAAGTATTCCCTCCCAGGGAAGATCTCATAATGTACATTTATAATTCTAAAGGGCTCAAAACGAGGCATGTGCTATGACTCTTTATCTCCTGTGTCTGTGACTGATTAGTGGGTGCTCTGTGATTTTGCGAGTATTGTAGAAGGAGGAGGAGGGTCCCTGCTCTCCTCTCCTGGGTAACCTGTACAAGTCCCTCCCCTCTCTGGGCCTTGGTCTCTTCACCTGTGATTGTAGCATTTGAACTAGATGTTATCAGGGTCCCTTCTAACCTTGCCATCCTAGAGTAATATGGCTCTATGGAGACGTGTGGTATAGTTCTAGCATTCTTTCTTAAATATTATTTCCTCAAAAGCAAATCATCTCTTCATACCCCACTAGCTGGCACGCTACTCTATTCCTGTCTTTTTTCCCCATTTTAGGGAGATTTAGTCCTAGATGGTATGCTTTATGAGACTTGAGAGCCCCTTGGCCAGGAATTGGGGAACAGGCCATCCACTTGTAAGCCCAGCATTCTCTAGGCAGGTGGGCAGTAGAGACCTGGCTTCTGGATGTCACAGAAAGAGGGTCAAGTGTTAACTTACGCTTCGGATTAACAGTGTAGTAGAATGCATTTGATCTTGCCCAAGAATAAGACTACCCCCCCCCTTTTTTAGTGAGAAAAGAAAGGAGAATATTTACTGTGGGGTCTAAAAACAAAATAGATCTGCAATTTCTTAACTTCAGAATTGAGATCCCTAACTGTGGACAGTCCTTACAGTTCATGAAGCACTTTCCCACCCTGGGAGGGTGGGCTGGGCAGGAGTTGACAGCCCTCCCCTGTTACAGATGAAGAAACCAGTCTCTGAGAGGAAGCTCTTGGCCTATGGATGTTCCCTTAGCACTGAGAGGCCGACCTCGGTGCCTGAGCTGTTTCTCCTGTGACTTCAAAACCAGGGGAAGACACTGCCAGTTGACAGGTTTCAGGGGACTTACCAAAGTTCATCTTGGCTTTTAAACCACCTCTCATGCCTCTTACAATGGCCATTGTATTTTGGAGTCCTTGTTAGAACTGAGTTTTCGGTTTTGAAGCCTGGCCATTCACACCTAAATCATTGGAGCACTATCACCTTGGTGTGCTACAAGGCAAACAGGATTTGCCTGGGGATCTGGAAACATGAGGTCCATTTGTGCATTTATCCCAGGCTTGCTGTGTGACCCTGGGCAAGGCCCTTCACTTTCTGGGCCTCCACGTCCTCATTTGAATAAAAAGGAAGTGAAACTAGATGAGTGGTTTTCAAAGTTGAAAACATTGGAACCCCTTAGAATAAAATCAGAATTGAACTTGATCAAATTGGAAACTGCTCTTGGCTGTTAGGTTGGGGATGCTGGGGACATGCTCACATCCACACCCTTCTTGGCACCTCCTGCCCTTCTTTTCTTCCTTGCCCCTCACAGCAATTATTTCTGTGTCTGAGAGTCTGCCATTAATTCTATTGTGAACTGATGGAACTGGTTTTACATCATATTTATGTGCGATGTAAATAAATAATACATGCTACATTGTCAGAAATGTTTGCCAAGGTTAGAAACAGTGATTAACATAATGACTTGATAGCTCCAGAGGCTAACTGTGTATGGTTGTGGCTGCTGTTTGTTATCATTTGGAAGCATGGTTCCTGCCCACCCACTACCTGTGTTTTTTCTACCCTATTTTTATAGATGCCATGATGTCACAACCCCCTAAACCTGAAAAATAAATGTTTTTAAGGATAGTCTTTGTGGTCTCTGTCCTAGGAATGCTACTATAGGTGGGTCCAGTCCCTCTGCTACATCTTTATCATCCTACATACATCTTGGCCTCTTTTTTTTCTACTTACAACATTTACTTTGATCCACTTCTCCTTACCTCTCACACCTCTGGTGAGGCGACCTCCCTACTTGCAATTTTTAATCCCTAATCATTTTACACTACCGCCAGCCTGATCCTTCTAAGCTCCCTGAACTTGTATTTCTCCTGTTTAAGCATTCTAGTATTTCACTCACTCACTGATCTGCACTCGGTAACCTCCCACACACATAGTAAGTAGCGTTCTCCAGGTGCAAAAAGGGGCAAGGCTCAGGGTGGGGAGGATGGTGTGCTAGGTACCTAGGGCCGTGATGTACGAGAAACGACCTGGAGCTGCCTGGCCATTCAGTAAGAGAGAGAGAGTGTGTGTAGAGAGAGAGCCTTTATATAACTTTTATTGTAACATAATTATTCTATTTTATTATTCGTTATTGTTGCTAATCCTTACTGTGCCTAATTTATAAATCCAACTTTGTCATAGGTATGTATATATAGGAAAAAATAAAACCCATAAAGGGTGGTATTACCTCTGCTGGTGGTCTTGGAATGTGTCTCCCAAGGATAAGTGGGGACAGCAGTGATTCTAAACGCAATGTTCAATCCCAAATGTATCCATTTTTTACTGTAAGACAAAAAAGAGCTGGGTTTTAATCAAGGTGGATTTTTTTTTAACCTTCAGATTTTATGGTGAAATTAATTCCTATGTCTTTAAAAAACATTGCCCTCCCTTCACCCCAGGGATGGATGATACAGGAAAAATGAACAAGAAGGAGCAAATCAATCGACAGTGAACATTCTCCTCTAATGAATTTCCTCATTCCCAGCCTTTGCCGGGGCCTCGTGAACATTAAATCAGAGTATGGTTATTATGTGATATTTTAATTAATTAAGGGAAACCACAGTGCTCTAGTTTCTGTAGTGTAATGAATTCAGGATGAGTCCATCACCCAGGGCAGAACTGGATGCCAATGCTTGCTCATGTTGGCTCCCCGGAGCTGACTTTTCTTCTCTGGAGTGGGAGCTCCTTTATGGTCAGGTCTGCCTTTGAGCTCAGCCTCAATGGACTTCAAGGCTGAGAAGTTGTCTGGCACTGTGGCTGTCTCTTCCTCATGCCTAAATCTCCCCCTATGATATTAAGGAGCGGTTGATGGCTGAGCAGAGTAAACACCATTAGTGCTAGAGGGGCAGAGCCTCTCCCTTCTGCACGCATGAATGGACCCATCACATGCATTTGCAGAGCATCTGTGGTACCCCAAGCATGGCATTGCTTACAGGCTCAGCCCTGGCAGAGGTGCCTGTGATACATGACAGGAACCTGTCTCTGTGCTGCTGAAAGTGCATGTAGTCATCTCTCAGGTAGAATAGCTTTAGAGCTGGAGGACCTGGAGCTAAGGTGACGCATTATCGTAATCCACAGGTCTCGTTCTCTTCCCTTGACTCTGAGCCTCTGTTTCCTCCCAACCCAGGGAGGTCAGCATCACTTCCCTGACTGCTGCTCTGAGGACCAGCTGAGTGAAGGGCCATGCACTACCCATTCTGCAGGGGATACTGAGCCTGGAGCTTCTGCAGGGAGTGACAGAGGACAGGAAGAGAAAGCAGATCTGCTTGGGGAATGTGAGAGACAGCCTAGTGGGACAAAAAAATTAGACCCATTTCATGACATGCCAACTAGTAAGAGCTAACACGGGACAAGACTAAGTGAAGGGTGGGTGTTATGAGCTCAATGAGCTTTAATTGAGAAGTTCAGAGAAAGGTCTTAAAGGAGGTGGGCCTTAAACAGGGTTAAGAAAATGGACTGAATTTGTAGAGGAATGAATTAAGAGAACAGAGCTGCATGAGCAAGTCTGGACACAAGGAGCAGTCAGCCCACAAGCCTGGGAGAGGGCTGAACGCTATGCATTCACCATTTAGCAAATGGAGGCATCATTGTGGCAGAGCCAGTAGCATACTGTCCACTGAAACATGGGTCCTTCTACAGTGTGTTGCTGTCCAGATCATGCCTGTGTCCAACCTCCCTTTGCATCAACAATGTTGGATTATGTTTTTGGAAGTGAATGTAAATAGAGGTATAGGGCTCCTTTCAGAGGTCAGGGATTGTAAGAAGTCGCTATGCCTTTGCTATACTTTCCGTTCACTTCCCAGCTGACATGGAGTTTCTGAGGCCCTAGGCAGGGGTTTTAAATCTGGATAGGGTTAAGCACACTGGATACCCAGTGCTTGATCTCTTGGGAGCATATGGTTCTGCAGGAAGCTCCCTCTTTTTGGAAGGTCCGCTTTCCTGGGTCCTCCCATGTTCCTCCAGCTGCTTCTGCCTCATACCCCTTGTGGAAATTTCACTCTCTACTCCTCCTTGATGGTGTTCTCAAGGTCAAGCTTTCCTTACCTCCCTATTACTGGTACTCAACACAGCAGCCCCAGTCCAAGTCCAAGTCAGATCACCTCAAGGCTCTTCTCAGAACCTGCTGGGGGCTCCTTCCTCATTCAGAATGACGCCCCAATCCATGTCCACAGTGGCCCTCCATCTAACTATCTGCCCCAGCCCTGCTCTTCTCCTCTCTTCATTTATGCCCCTTGTTTGCTTTCCCAGGAACCTGGCCTCCAGTCCTTTGAGCACCAAGGAATGCTCTAGTCTCTTGCAGTCCTTTGCTATCCATATCTGAGCACCTGATTGAAAATAACTCCTACTACACCCTACCATTTTTCCTACTCCCCTTCCCAGCCAGATTTTCCTCCATCATACCCTAAACCACCTGACAGACCTAATACCCTTGGCCTCCATGCCTGAAGGTCATTCAACCAACAATGGGTCAAAAATATTAGGGAAAAAATTGCAACTGTATTGAACATGTGCAGACTTTTTTCAATCTTTAGTCACCAAACAATATAATCAAGTGACTAGTTACAAAGCATTTGCATTGTATTAGGCAGGACGAGTAATCTAGAGGTAATCTAAAGTATACAGGAGGATGTGTGTAGGTTATATGCAAATTCTACACCATTTTATACAAGGGGCTTGAGCATCTTCAGATTTTGCTATCTTCAGGGGATCCTGGAATTAACCTGCTGTGGATACTGAGGGATGGTTGTTGTATTTCATTTGTTTTGCTTATGGTCTACCTCCTCCATCAGTTAGGATGTGCGAGATTTTTGTTTAGTTCCCTGCTCTGTCACCAGAACCTGGAATAGTTCCTAGCACATAGTTAGCACTCAGTAAACAAACAAACTCACCTCTGTGTCCCTAAACTTGTTCTTCCAGAACATTCCCTTTGCAGTAGCTGGCACACAACCCATATGATTTCCCAAGTTAGAAACCTGACGTTTACCAACTTTTCACTCTCTTTTGGCACTAATCTGTCCATCTATCACCACCCCTTAGCCTGCCTCCTGGCTCACCAAGGTCTCCCACCACCCCCACACCCTGTTCAAGCCAGCATCATGGTAGTTAGAGCAGCAGTGACCTGAGAAACCTCCAGCTTCAGGTTGGCCCACTCAATCCATTGTCCACATGGAAGCAGAGCTACCTTTAGAAACCAGATATGATCTACCCCTTTCTCTTGAAGACCCTAGGGCTTCCCATTGCTGGACAGTGTAAGCTTCCTACAGGGTCTACCAGTGCCTTCAAAATATGGCACCTGACTAGATCCCCAGCCTTTCCTCTGGCCTCTCCCTTCCCCATGGGAACAGCTTACTATCCACTCTATGCTTCCCAAAGGTTCTGTGCCTTCCCTCTTCCAGGAATGTCTTCCCTTGCCAGCCTGCCCAGTCACCTCTCCTCACTCAGCAGGATCCTGTATCCCACTCCCACTGGGTCATGTCTTATGACTGAGCTGTGCACCCAGAAGGAAGCAGCATGTAGCAGAGAGGGGTGGGCATTTCTAGGCTCCATGTTTATCAAGCACCCAATGACAATACCAGTTGGGAGCTTTAAATGAGATCATGCCTTGTGGGCACTTAATATATTTCTTTCCTCTAATGACCTCACAGCACTTTTCACCCTGTTCTGTAATTGTGTCCCATCAGAACATGAGTTCCCCAACCAAAGGGCAAGGACTTATTCAATTCTCTTCCCTGCAACACTCCACCTAGAGCCAGGAACTTTTTTTTTCTCCTTAAAGCAATGAATGAGCTGAGCAAATTAACTAACAGGGTGACCACCAGAGGTCAGCCACACACCCAGAATGGAGCCAGCCCTAATTAAAATTCCTAAGTCTCCGATCTGATTAAGACAACAGGTGTCATTGAGTAGCAACCCAGATGGATCCAGCAGGAAGCCAGGTCCCCTGGGCTTGCACAGCATTGTTGTGGGTTCAGGTTCATTGGGATTAGGGCCCTCCTTCTGGCCCCTAGTGCATGTTCATGGGAAGGAAACTTAACCCCAAATAAGCTGCTTACTAAACCTCTCAGTTTTCATTTCCTCCTTGAAAAGAAAAAAAGGATAACTCCACTGCTTGCTTTACAGGATTGTTTTTAAAGCCTCAGTGGCCTGTAAAGGTGCCTGGATAGGGTAAGAGCTTGACGAATGTTTGTCGAAAGGATCAATGGATGGATGGCCCAGTACTGTAGCATCATCTACCATGACTCAGTCTTCTAGGTTGTGTCAGGGTGATTGATGGTGCCCCATTAAACCGCTGGGGTCACAAGTCTGCATTCAGAACAACGATAATGTAAGTGGACTGGGGACATGAGGGCTGAGCTGGTACAGAATCCGACCTGAGTCCTCAAACTCAGAATTTGGGAGCTCAAAATAAGTGACCTTGAGAATTGCCTTTTCCCATCTTCACCTCACAGTGGGACACCCTCTAAAAAGTTCCTCTCTGGTTTAGAAGTATTAAGAATCAAATAAAGAAAGGATTTGTGGAAATATTACAATATTATATGTTAGCCATAAGGGATATCCCTCTCTCCCATCTCCCCAGCTTGTTTGTCTTCACTATTGTGCAGCAGAGGTGCTCAAGGCCTCTGCTTCACAGAAATAGATGGAGAGTCACGGTCACCTCAGCCCTAGACAAATGGCACAAGAAGTAGGTCCTAGGAAGGGAGATGAAAGAACCAAACAGATCCTGGACCTTCAAGTAGCAGTTTCAGGCCAAATTCCAGTTAAGATAATGAGCAAAATCATCGTGATGTTAGGATGAAGAGATGGCTGGGGTGCGCTCACAAGAATGAGTGGATTTAAACGCAGGGCGATTTGTAAGCAAAGTGCTCAAGAATGGTGCAAGACAAGGTGGGATAGGCATAGCATTCTGCTGCTGACCTTGGCCTGGCTTGGATTTACCCTGACTCCTATTATTTGGTGAATGAAATCAGCAAGACTAACAATAAACAGCCAACTCTGTGGCTTGACACTGGAATCCCCAGCATGTCAGGATGGCCTTGATGCTGGGCATGGCTTGTGGGGTGGTATGGTTTGGTAGGGGCTGAGGGGACAATGCTAGTGGAATCATCAAAATAAGATGGGCTTGATGCATGTGGGACCAGAGCATTTCTCTAAAGGTCTTACGTTTGCACTTTGTCATCAGCCAAGAGAAAATGAAAACAAGAATAGAAACACTCTGAAGAGGACCCGATGACTACCTGGTCTCTTCTATCCCCAAGACTATAAAACCTTTAGCAGCAAGAAAGAATTGAGACAAAATGGATTTGCAAATGCATTTAAAACTTTAATTTAAATGAATTAATTCACATACCACAAATGTGTACAATTTCAGTAGTTTAGTACATTTTCAAAGTTGCATAGTCCTCACCACTAATTTCAGATGATTTTCAAAAACTCCCTCCCCAAAACCCCTGTCCGTAAGCATCTATTCCCCCGTCCTTCTTCCCCTTAGTCCCTGCCAACCACCATCTCCTATGGATGTTTTCTATCACTATGGATATTCCTCGTCTGGACATTTCACATAAATGAAATCATACAATATATGGTCTTGTGTGTGGCTTTTTTCACTTAGCATGATGCTTTCAAGGTTCACTCATGTTGTAGCATGTACTTCATTTCTCTTTATGGATGAATACTCAGTGGTTTTAACCAGCCTTCTAGAGATTTCTAAGGTTTCATGGAAGTAATTCAAGGGCTATCCACAGGGCAGGGCCTGGAGAACAGGTGGCTAGGACTCAGCCCAGCCCCCACCCCTGCTTTAAATAGAACAGCTCTAATTTATTCATTGGGGTTCCCTTTGGAATAAAGAGGATACATACCTAAAAAAGAGTTGGGCATCCATTGATCTAAATGGTTGTATATTTGCTGGACTCAGGTTAGGCCTCCACGGAGGCTATTCTCACGAGTTCTTCTGAGGAACCTTGACAGTAACTGTCTTCACCTCTGTGTAGGCTCTCAGCCCATCCTCCCCCAGCTCTCTCCCATTTCCAGATCCCTTAAAACTTCCAAATGGTGTGTGGCAGGTGATGGTATTGTAGGTGTTTACCCACACTGTTCCAGCTTGGAGTGCCTGGGTAAAATATACGGCCTTGTCCAGGTCCTGGGTGAACACAGCAGCAGCCAGGCCATACCTGGTGTTATTGGCCCTCCTTATCACCTCCTCAATCTTCTTGAACTTAAACAGGGCTGCACAGGCCCGAAGATCTCCTCCTTGGCGATTCTCATGTCATCCTGCATGTCCCCAAAGACTGTTGGCTTGATAAAGAAGCCACGCTCCTCAAAGCGCTCCCCACCGCAGAGAAGTTTTGCCCCCTCCTTCTGGCCAAGCTGGATGTAGCCCAGGATTCGTTCAAACTGCTCCTTGTCTACTTGGGGACCCTGTTGGGTGGCCAGCTCAAAGGGGTTCCCAACTTTTCTTTGTTTGGCTCTCTCCACAGTTCTCTCAAGAAATTAATTGTACATGGATTCTTCTACTAAGGTCCAGACCCTGCACAGCTGCACTGGCCCATGTTGAAGAAGAGGGCTTCGTGACACTGGTCCACGGCATGACCCATGTCAGCGTCGGCCAGCACAATGCTGGGGCTCTTCCCCCCTAGCTCCAGTGTGACTCTCTTGAGGTTGGAATCACCAGCAGCCTTCTGGATCAGATGGCCCACCTCGGTGGAGCCTGTGAAGGCAACTTTATCAACATCCATGTGCTGAGTGATGGCTGCTCCTGCTGTGGGGCCATAACTGGGATGATGTTCACCACCCCGGGGGGGAAAGCCCGCCTCCTTGATGAGGAGGCCACATACATTGCAGAAAGTGGGGTCTGCTCCGCCACTTTCATAACCACAATGTCGCCTGTGGCAAGCGCTGGGGCAAGCTTCCAGCCCTGCATGACCAGGGGGAAGTTCCATGGGATTATCTGACCACAGACACCTACCAGCTCATGCCTGGTGAAGCAGAAATGCTCAGCGTCCATGGGGATGGTTTTGCCATGCCACTTGTCAGCCCAGCCAGTAAAGTAGCGGTATACCTTGATGACCTCATCCAGGTCCAAGGCATAAGATTCCTGGAAAGGCTTTCTATTGTCTAAGGTCTCCAGTGAGGCCAAGTAGACTCAATCCGGCTCCACTAGGTCAGCCAGGCGGTTCAACAACCGGCCCCGCTCGGAAGCATCCATCTGGCGCCATGGGGACCCCAGGAGGAAGGCCTCACGGGTTGCTTTCACAGCCCTGTCCACATCAGCTTGGTCCCCTTCAGCCACATGCCCGATGACCTCACCTGTGGTGGGGTTGACTGTGGGGAAGGTCTTCTTGCTGACCGCATCTTGCCACTCATTGTTGATGAACAGCTGGTTATAGCGGATGTCTGGGTTCAAGATGGGGTTTGGGAGGGCTGCTGCTGAGGAGTATGGGGCGGTCCTGCCCTGGAGGCAGAGCAGCCAGGGGGCACTAGGAAGTGCAGCATGCTGACCACTCTGGAGAGGGACAGAGAGAAGCAGGGTGAACAGGTGGGAGGGGCAACGGGCCACCTAGAGGCCTGGCAACTCTGACATTCTGATTCTAGCATTAAGGGGTATTACCTCTGAAAGCAAGGGTTGTAAAGCATGCAAAGAACTGAAGAACTCTGGTCCACCCATCAGGTCCCCCTCTCCTCTGCTCACTGCCCATCTCTTCTGCATCTCTGTCACCTCCTTGGCAAGGCCAACCCTGGTCCCCCACTTTCTAATATTGAAACTCTTCCCACCCCACACTCTATTCCTCAAACCCACCCACATACAAGTTTCTATATTACATGTGTTTGTGTATTGTCTGTCTCTCCCCGCCCCACTCCCATTCCCACCCTCTATAAGTACAAGCTTCAGGAAAGCAGGGATTCTGGTTTGTTTGTGTCATTCATTGCTATGTCCTTGATGCCTAGAATTATGCCTGTGACAGAGTTGCTGCTCAGAGATAGACTGAATGAGGGACCATGGGAATTTCCATAAAAGCCGTTAAGGGATTGATCTAAGATGAGTAGAAACCAAAAGGACTTGGAGACAGACGTGCTGTCCCCTTCTGAACCTCAGCCCCTCATATGTGAAATGCCCCATGGGATGAGGCTGAATGGGCTCATGCATGTAAAAAGCCATTCACACTCCACCCAGGACATTAGAGCTGGTAGGACCTCAGAAACCACCCTGGCACAGTCCCCTGCACAGGTTGTTCCCAGGTGCAGCAAGTCAGGCAGCAGCTGGGAGGAAGGGTCTGTTTATTCTCAACTGTGATTCTGAAAACACTGTAGATTTTACTAAAAGAACAGCCACTAAGAAAAGTAAACAGTATATAAAATTTAAGTCAGTATGTAAAGATCCTAGATTAGCTTAAGCAGTTATTCTCTGGCCAGGATTTGTGTCCCTCTTCCTTCACTGTCTCACATGAGTCTTGCCCCAACCAGCAGCAAAACAGAATTGCACCTGCCTGTCCTCTGACCTCTACCACTCCCTACCCTTTGCCCCTCCCCCGCTCCCTACAGGGAAAGGATCAAAGATCTCATTCAGGAAAGCAAAGCTCCAGCCCTGTCCCCAAACCCATAGAAATCAATGCTGACCTAGAAAGCCCTCCCTCGTGAGACACTGACCCAGCAGGCCTGTCAGGAGCACCTGGTTTCCATTTTACTCAGGGCTCTGCCACATGCCGGGGGTTCACCAGTCCATGAAAGAGGGTTGCAGGAGCTAAGCAGGCAAGCTGTTTTTAGGTAATGCCAAGGCTATTCTTTCTCTGACCGGGTCCAGCCATCACCTCCACTTGCACATAGGAAGATCACCTCCACTTGCACATAGGAAGATCACCTCTCACAGGTGCACTGCACTTAACAGACTGCAGCTCATTTCTCACTGTGAATTCACTAAAGTTCCTGGTGATCAGGACGGATGTCGACCCCCATTCTGGAAGAAGGCTGGGGACCAGAGAGATCAGCGACTCACCCAGGACACACAGTAAGAAACATAGGCGCCTCATTCTGGATTTCCACAGGCCTAGCTCTGCGTTCCTTCCCAAATAGTGGCAATTTTTATGGTTCACGGTGCGAAGGACCAGACCTTCTCCGGACCAGGACAGTGTCCACCTCGCTCCTTCTGGCGGGAGAAGGCGCGTGTCCAGGTCCCAGCCTCTGCGCTATGGTCAGGGGTCCTCGGCTGGGTTGGCCAGGTGGGCGGGGGTGATCGGGTCGAACTAACATGGGAAGGTTTGGCAGGTCTGTGTCCTCCGGGACAATCTAGCGCCACCCAGATACCGGAGTGGGGAGGGGGAGACGTGGAGAGGGTCCTCCAGTGCGCGCGGAGCAGAGGCCGGCCCGCAGGTGGAGAGCCTGCGGCCAGGAGAGGAAAGCCTCCATTACAGGGCCGGGAGGGACGATCTGCCTGGGCGCCGAGGGAGAAAGCGCGGTGGTTACCTGCGGCAGGCTCCGGCTCAGGCTCAGGCTCAAGGGCAGATTCGGGTTAGCGATCTGCAGCGCCGCCTCCGCGCCCCAGTGAGGCTCCAGCTCCCGCCCAGGCCGCTCCTCCTTCCAGGCACCCGCAGGCGGGGCGGGGCGGGGCGGAGCACCCTGCGGTTCCCAGTCCCGGCCCCCCTCCCCCAGGAGTCCTAACCACGCCAGCGCTCCCCCGCTCGGGTCTCCGTGGCCATGCAGCTCTAGTCTGAGGTCCTAAGGGAGAGGAAAGAGAAACCCAGAGAGGGGCAGGGGCTTCCCCGGGGTACGCAGTAAGACCCTTCCCTTCCTCACCACACACCTACACTGTCATCCTGAAGCCCCTCCTTAACCCTCTCTACCTAGCCCCTCCCCCACGTCTCCCTTCACAATAATCAGTGGTTCGTGACTGTGACTTCCACTTTTGCTTTTCCCCAGTTCCTTGACGATTTTATTTTTGTGCATTTTCAAACGCATATTCTTTTATCCTAAGGGCAAAAAGAATAATATGCACAATGTGGAAAGATTGGAAAACGATGAAAAGAAAAAAAATTACCTGTAACCCTTTCACCCACTATTGGATGTTCATCTTGCCAGTCTTTCTTTCAACAATTGTTTTAATAAAGATGAAATCATATAGTGATTTCTATTCTAATGCCCTTAAAACTAAAAACCTAGCTCTGTATTACGAATTTTGGTTCTGTCACTACAGGTGACATCATCCTCTGCAAGGTGGCATAAAATTCCACTGTGAGGGGTAGACTCTTGGAAATCTGATGGTCTCCATCTTGCTACTAGGATGCTGAGATGCATCCCACTCTCTCCCTCCCCCTCGCTGGCACACTCCTCTTGATAGGAAAGGTCTAGAAGCTACCAGCTGTTTCCCAGCCTTCTTTGCAACTGTTATCAGAGGGTGGTCTAAGGAGACCTTGGTGGAGAAGCACTTGGGTCCTGTGTCTCTCCAACAGAGAACCGGACAGCCTGCAAAGCAGTAGTAGAGTTTTATTGAAAAGGAAAGGAAAGAAAGGCACCGCAAAAGGAAGAGTGGTGGGCTCTGGCCAGATGGCACAGAAGCCCAGATCTTTGTTCAAAGGGCAATTTATAAGTTGTAAGGGAAAATGGTGGAGAAAAATCTGGGTTGTCTTTGCAGGAGGGGCAAGGATGATTGACAGGTTTGATTGGCAAGGTCTTATTATTCTACACACACACTTATGCTGATTCCCAGGTCTTTAATCGTATGTATGAGATGTGATCAATATTCATAAGGTCTTAAGTAGAGGACTTTACCTGAGAGGTCAAATTGAGAACAGATTTCCCTTTACTTGGCATGTGCTATTTTCTGCTCTGAACTGGCCAAGAGGCTCCCTGGTTTTGGGGGGAACTTACAACTGCAGAGGAATTTACAATTGAAAAGGAATTTACAACTGAGGGTGGTACTGCTTGGGGACCAGGAGGAATTCAGCATGGGGTGGGGGTTACCTTTTGCTGAGGAGGGAGGAGTCCCACAGAGGCTCTTTCCCAGTTACTGGCCTGCCTCACACTAGAGTTCTAGGTGTGAGCTAGGTACTGCCAATGAGCCGTACTCCTGCCAGAGGTGGAAGGAGGTCAGAGGGCACATCCCCTTTGGGATGATACAGGAAGGATGACAGATATGTGAGTGTCCCCTCCAGCTTCTTCCTGGCTATGGATGGCAGCTGTGGCTACCTGATCTTTGAATGGTGGCTGCACAAAGCTCAGATGTAGTTTGGTTGTCAGGCCTCATCCATGTTGCTCTAAGGTCAGAGCTAGTCTACCTCTGGCCCTCCCACCAATTCCCTGTATTAAATCCCCACCTCTCCCCAGTCAGAATTTAGAGTTCACATTTTCCTGCTTGATTGACTCGAATAGGTCTCTCTATGGAATCTTTTGCTGCTTTAGCATCCTAAGAATGTTGACAGCGCTTGCAGAATTTAGCCCTTCATTAGGCACTATGTGTTGCATCTTGTCACCTTGATGCCCATGCTTTCCTCAGGGTTCCCCAGCAATTGTGTCACCCTCTTGAAAGCCTCTTCTGCCTCCCCCACAGCATGTGGACAGCTGATACCCCATGGGCACTTGGTAAGGCACTCAGGGATTGATTGACTTAGTGACTGTCAATCATTAACCGGCCTTTCTGATAGAGTACCTATTCTTTAGCATTTTAGAGCCTTATATGTCTAGGAAGTTACAAGATCCCAGCTCTGAGAATAATGAACAGATCAGATAGATTTCAGGCAAAAGAAGTCATGTGAAGTAGGCTGTTTATTCTGCACTAAGCATAATTATTCTCCTTTGGCTTAAAATGAAAGACTGGGTCAAAGTCACTGAGAGAGCGTTTAAAATAAAGATGCACTTTAAAATCAACCTGATGTTTGTCACTATCCATGACAAGGATAAAGTGTGCATTGGAAAGCTGGGCAGGGCTAAGAGGGCAGGGGCAGTCAGAAATGACCTTCATGGAGAATGGTCGGAGGCTGTGTCCTAGAACGAGCAGTGGAAGGATCTTTTAGAACTCAAGGGACAAAGTGTGCCCTCCAAATCTCTGAATGACAAAAACACAGGGTTCTAGCAAGCAAAGCCAGATCAGTGAGGGAAAGTTACAGGGATGCAGAGGATTTGAAAGGCAGTAAGCCCCTCGTCACTGGAAGAGAGTAAGGAGGCCTAAATGGCCATTTGTAGAATCTCATAGAAGAGATTATCAGACAAAGACTGAACTAGACAAGTAGGTCTAAACTTAGCTGTGATTAGAATTGCATAGAGAGATTAAGATAATTTTTTTAATCTCCCAAGATTTAAAGAGATCTTGAGGATTATAAATCATTAAGTGTGGGTTGGAGTGCAGGAATTTTTTTAAGTTCCTTAATGCATCTGATGTGCAATTGTATTTGGTAACACTGGCCTAAGTGGTCTGTGAGGATACTATGACTCCATCATGAT